TCCCCTCCCTTCACCCTCCCAGCGTCTCCTCCCACCTGTCCTCTCCCAAAAATCAACTCCGCCTCCATTTCCCTTCACAAGGCCAGCAGGCTTTTCAGGGATATCTACCATACACGCTTTAACAAGATAGAATAATACTAGACACAAAGCTTCATATCAAGGACAAGGAGACCCACTAGATGAAACTGGTTCCTCACCCAGGCAAAAGAATCAGAGAGCCACTCCCATTGTTGGGAGTCCCACAGGAACACCAAGCTACACAACCATAAGGTCTACGCAGAGGAACTAGATTAGACACATACAGGAGTCGTGTTTGTTGGTTCAGTCCCTGTGAGTCCCTATGGGCTCTGTTTAGTTGATTCTGTGAGCCTTGTATTTTTCCTGAGATGAGAGAGATTTTTCTCTGTATATCCCTAACTGTCCTAGAATTTGCTCTGTAGGTCGAGCTGGCAATGAACTTAGAAGTCCACTTTCTTCTGCCTCCCTAGCATTGGGATTAAAGGTGTGTATCAGTATTCTTGGCTCATCTTGAACTTCTTATTCTCTTGTCTCTCCTTATCAAATTCTGGGTTTATAGGTATGCACTAACACATTTAGAATGAGTGATTTTTCTTAAACAAGTTTCAGGAAAGGATCTCTGAGATCTTTTAGGGACAAAGTCCATTATAGATGAAAACCAGAGTCCTAACATGATGTTTGAGTAAATCCTCTTTGCCACCTAGAAATTAAGATTTCACAGACAGAAAACCATTAAAGAACAAGGGAGGTATCATGATAGGGAGTGCAGCTAACAGAGTAATGGTTTTTAGTGTCCAGGACTTCATCCCTGTCATCTGTAAATATGCTACCTTATTAGGCAGGAGGGACTTTGCAGAACTGATTAAAGTTGAGGATTTCTGGTGGAGTAGATCACTGCAGATTACCTAGCAAGTCCCAATATAACCATAGAAGTCACTGTGAGAGGGTTTCAGAGACAGTGAAGGAGATGGGATCTAACAGAGAAAAGATATGGAAAAATGAAGATCTCTGCTATTGAGCTTGAAAGCAGGAAGGCACTTGGAGCAAGGATTGAGAACATCCCCCAAAAGTTAAATATGGAAAGGACACAGCTTATCCCCAAGAACCTACTCAGCACACACTTTGATTTTAGGCATTTAATTTCCATGTCAGTCTCCTGATATCCAGGACAGTATGATAATTATCTGGATTGTTATAACCCCCCTCCCCATTTCATTATGTTCATGATCACTTTCACAGTCAGCAGTGGAAGAATGACAGAATGACCCTGAAGTAACTCATTTCACCATTCTTCTCAGCATAGGCATTGGCATTATCTCAGGGACTGAACTGGCACTGTCTTCTGAAAATGGGAGCATTTATGATCTGATGGACAGTGTATGTGCCGAATTCATTCCCAGAGGCACAATTTCTTGGTAGGGCAGGAAAGTGGTTGCTACTCATCTCTGAAGAATATCAGTGTACTTGCTGTTTTCGTTGTGGTTTTGATATGAATATTCACTATCTTAAAGTCATCACTTTGTGTAATTATATTGAATTTCTTTGGGGAAGCCAGTGACTTTCAGAATTGACATTTCCAAGCAGGGTGCATGCTACCTTCACTGACTCACTTCAACAGGAAAAGGTTGGATAATTAGCACAGTCGTCTTTCCACGTCTGCCAAAAGTCTCTATTCCAAAAGCAATATTGGTTAGGGCGCTGGAAGAACGTGTTAGTACTTTCTAGCAGATGGCAAACTACCAGTGAGTTTATGAAGCAGTGATGTTACGAGAGCCGCAGAAATGCTAATTCCTCTCCTCCCAGGAAGTCGTGTGTGCTTCTTTATTGTTAGTTCTGTCTTCTGTGTAGGCTACAGTGGTGACTGTTCAGGACATAACGTTCTAGAAGTGTGGCAGTGTGTGTTATCACCCCTCAGAGTCTTCCATTGTGTTTCCCACCACATCTCATTCCTTTACATTGCTGCAACCAAGTTTAGTAAAATATTCCAGAGCAATCAATCATTGATAATTACAGTTCCTGGGAACAGAGGGCATCATCTGTGCCAGGAAGTACTAAGTGTTTTGTGTTCATCTCACTTTTTCCATCTATGTGCATCCAACGTGACAGTGATTAACATTGTTGAATTATGACTTGGAATCATCTCTGCCTGGAAAGTGAGAGGCTTCTACTGTTCCGGAAGCCTAGAGGGTCTCTAGGGACAATACTGTTTATTTCTGCTCTTGCTGCCCTTAAAAATAGAGTCATTGCTTATTACAGATGCAGGATGCATCATTCTTGGCATGTGGAGGGATGGTGCCAGCTGTTTACTACAAAGCATGTGTGCACATGGGTGCTCAGTTATAATTTTAAGCACCCTTAGTAGGTCAGACTTTTTAAACACATAGTGCATACACTCTTGAGGTGCACTATTCTGCTGTGACTCTTTCAGTTCATTCTTTTAGACATTTATTTATTTTCACAGTAATACTTATCAGTGTCTTTCCTCTCATATCTGAGAATTGGAGATATAAAGTTAAAGTCAGTTCTAATCTAAACTTATATTCTAGTGGAAGAACAAACAACAACACTATTAAAATAACAACAATAAAACTCACCTATGAAGTACAGGTTTAAGTTCCTGATCTGAAAATCTTGGATCTGAAAGACTCTAAGAAAATCGAAATTTTTTAAGTGTTATCCGGAAACACAATTTCACACCTGACCTTGCGTAATGTGCTTCAACCTAAAAACAGGCACAATATAAATATGAAATTACTCAAGATCTGAGTACAAGGTAGAAAATGAAAAATTATGGCTTTTGGGTTTGGAGGAGGGTTGGTTCCATCCCCAGAATATCTCTATACATACAGATGATTAAAAACATGAAAACTTCAAAATCCAAATTCCTTCTTGTCCCAATTATTTTGGTGAAGGGATACTCAGCCTCCATGAAATCAGATGGTGATAATTACCTTGTGAGGAAGTAAGTTTGGGGAAGGTAGAAGGAAACACAGTTACAGGTTTCAAGGACGCTTCTTCTGAGGCAGTGAAACTTCAGCAGAGACCTGACCAACTGAGAGAGCAACTGGTGGCAGCAGATCAAAACGGAAAAGTAGCAATTACAAAGGCACACCAAACTGGGTCTAGTGTCACAAGACTGTAACCCCAGCTCTTAGGGAGGCTGAGATGGGAGGATCTCAAGATAAAATGTGAAATGCAGTGCTGGGCAGTGAGCCCAGCATGGGGTACTCACCTCATCTTATGTGTCTAAGTGGCTCAGCTCAGTCTAAGTTACTATCAAACCCAAAACCAAACAGACAAATAAGCATTAAAAACAGAAACAAAAACAGAGCGTCTAAGGCCTGATAGGTTATAGTTAGTGATATACACTCTTATAAGGAATTCATTAAAGAATTTCTCACAGAAGAAACCTATAAAGTAAGGGAGACAGATATGAAAGAATGAGTATTCAGGCAAATTCCTGTCTGTAGTGTGATCTTTTCACCCCAGAGCTTGTTAAACATTTCAGGGAGCTGGCAAGAAAGCCATCTCCCTTAGACAATATCCAGTGAAGGCCTTTAAAGGAGGTACCGGGGTCATTGTTAGAGGACTTGGCTTGTAGAGGCAACGGATGAGCCAAGTCCAGCAAAGACATCCAAGGAAGGAGAATCGGCAATGTCCACTAGATTGGAACCCAGCAAGCAGGAGAGGTAGGTGGCTGAGTCCAGGAAGTGTTCAGGTGCTAAAACAGGCAAAGAATTCAGTTTTAATTTATAGATGTTTGGAAAACAGAAGAAATACGTGGCCAGAGAGCAGTATGATATGATTTACATTTTTCAATGACCATTCAGACTCTTTGAAATGAGACAGGGAGCTCTAGGACTTGTAGGAAAGCACTACAGAGTTCTAGGAGGATTGGGACCTTGGCCTCACCTAGTCCATTGTTGCAGAAAACCAGCCAAATAAAATAACAGCTCATTTAAAACACGCTTGTTGAAGCTGTAATGAGTTGCAGGTTCAAATATACATAATTAAAATAAAGCAGTAGTCATCTATTAAAAATCTTAACAGGAAATAATGCAAAAAACTCACTAATATTTAATTTCTACCAATAGTATGTTGGGTTGACTTAGAATTTTGCTTAAATAATTGCTTATATTGCTTAAGTAATTGTTTCCTAGTTGTGTTAAAAATATAATTGAATATATTTCTCAATGGTTTCTTCTTCTTGGATGTGGATATTGGAAATTTGTTAATCACTTATATGGTTTTTGTTATATTTTTATTGGGGCACTTTAGTATAGGTCCAGATGGTAGAAAGTGCCTGTAGTTTATATATGTTCTGACATCAGAGAGACCAGAATTTGCTGTTGAGTAGTATGCAAGGAGGAAAGGGATGATGCTGATGTTGACGGATCAACATCATGAGATGCAGAACACTGCAGGGACCCAGGGTGAGTGATGCTGAACTTTAGACATAGCCTGGCAATAGCTGTTGGATCTTGAAATAGAGGTGATTCATGGGTGGTTGGATCTACCTGTAAAAGGGAATGGCGGGCTGCTTCCCGCCACCCGGGTGCCACTGTGTTGATGGAATGGTGGGCTGCGTTCCGCCTGGATCCCTGCTAGCTTACACCTAAAATAATTACACCGAAACTGTATTCTTTTAAACACTGTCTGGCCCATTACCTCCAGCCTCTTATTGGCTAACTTTCACATATTGATTCAACCCATTTCTAATAATCTGTATAACACCACGAGGTCGTGACTTACTGGGAAAGATTCAGCATGTCTGACCTGGCAGCTTCATGGCTCTCTGCCTCTGCCTGATTCTGCTTCTTTCTTCTAGCAGTCTGTTCAGTCTACTCCACCTATCTAAATCCTGCCCTATCAAAAGCCAAGGCAGTCTCTTTATTAACCAGTGAAAGTAACACATAGGTCACGTGACCCGGGGGAGGGGCGGGGCCCGGAGAGAGCCGTTTTTTGCGCGCTGGGGAACTGACGAGACCAAAGCTGCAGGAGAATGGACAGGAGGTGCAGCGAGATGGAAGGATCTTGGATTTGATTGATGACGCTTGGCGGGAAAACGAGCTGCCGTACAAGGATGTTGCGATCCCACTGAGTGAGCTTCCAGAGCCTGAGCAGGACAATGGTGGCACCACAGAGTCTGTGAAAGAACAGGAGATGAAGTGGACGGATCTGGCCTTGCAATGTCTCCACGAGAATGTCCCACCTGCTGGAAACTGACGCTGGGTTTCTTTTTCTTGGTAGAGTTTTCAAAAATATGTAGGTAAAACTTGTTTCTTCTGTCTCCAAATTCAAATCTTTGAGTAATAGATCAACTCTCAAAGACGTAAAAAAAAAAAGAAAGAAAGAAAGTAACACATAGGCAGATGACCCTCCTCTATCATCTACCAGACTGAAGTTTCTCAGAAAGTCTTGGGACAGAGGTGAACTCTTATGGATATTTACTATGCAAATACTCTTTAAACTCTTAGTTGACATATTACCATCTGAGTGTATCCATAATGAAGAGATCCATGAACTAAATCCTGAAACAATCAATTTTGTGAAAGATTTGGAAATTGTGAGGAGCCATTTGTCAGTTATCCAAACTTGATGAGGTCATTTTATTTGAACCTTTGTTTTATTATATTAAACAAAGAATCATACAATACTTCAAATAACATAGAATAAATATGATACATAACTGGAATAAAATATTTTTTCAACCAAGCTAGACAAATCTTTGACCTAAAGTGAGAACTCGGGATATTAGCTATTGTATTCTTTTCTTCACAAGTGTCATATTATATCATTCCCAGACATAAGAAAACTCCCATATCTAAGAACTTGCCTTTTTCTTTTAGGATCAGAAAATTAAACTCTCTGTCTGCACTGAACCAAAAAGAATGAACATGAGGCTTGCTCCTGTGCCCTTTCCATGAGGCACACACCTTCATGTAGGTGCTGTATCTTTACTAACCTCAAATAGACTCCTACAGGGCAACTTAATTTTTATAATTGGAAAGCAGGTACTAGCACAGGAACCTAAGCTAGAAGAGGTCAGACCCACACTGCTATGGCTAGAAAGGCAACAGATGTGTCTTGTTGCTCATCTCAGTAGAAATTCAGAATAATTAGACCCCAGAGGCCAGTCTGTGGGCTGCTAAGGTGGACAGATATGCAAGGAAATCTCCACTGGAATGGATACAGCTAATGTCCTTCTGTTTTAATATTTGTGGTGAGAGAAGTAAGTTCACTTAAAGACATCCATGTCCTCAATCTTGAACCTAAGAAAAGTGAATCTTCCCTAATAAGGGGGGGTTGGCAGGTGTGACTGCACTGAGCCAGTTCGTAGAAGATAATTCTGGTAAGAATGGTATAACCTAACAAGTCCTTCAAGATTGAGGTACAAAATTAAGCAGTCAAAATCAAAAAAGGAGATGTGATCATAAAAATTGAGGATGGAGAGGGAGGGAGAGAAGACGAGAGAGAAAGAGTTGGGTGGTGAGTAGAAAAGAATGAGGAGGGAAAAGATGATGATGATGAGGAGGAGGAGGAGGAAAACAGAAGAGGGAAAGCCAGAGGCAGAGGGAAGGAGGTATATACATTGCTGGGTTTGAACGTGGAGGAAAACGTTACAAACCAAAGAATATGAACAGCCCACAGAAGCTGGAAAAGTACTAAAAATTAGATCCCTCCTACGGATTCCCCAAGGAGCACAGTCCACCCCAACACACTGATTTTAGTCAAATCCATTACGGATGTCTGAGCTCTCAAACTGTAAGATAGTAATTTTGCAATTTTATCGTCAATAAGTGTCGGGTCATTTACATTCGTAACAGTAGCAAGAGAAAGCTAATTTATTAAGCCTTATAAGTTATAAGGTTTAAGTAATAACCATAATGAAAATGTACCTATCTAGGAATGACATCATAAGTCTGAAACGCAGTTAAAGAGAAAGGAGTTAGAAAGCTCTGGGGCCGCCTAAACAAAGTCTGGTTATAAAGCACAGTTTACATCTTATCCTGCATTTTAACAATGATGCAATCAACTTGTCATAAATTACCAGCGACATGTTAGGATGATGAGGAGGGGGATTGTTCAAAGGAAAAAGTTTGTAGCAGAAGGCATAAGAGCCTCCTGACCGGATAGTGTGAGCAGCGGTATATGATTGATTGATTTCAATATAGTTCCATAAAATTGATAAAGAGTACAGGGTATGCCCAGGGTGTACAGGTGTCAGAGAACGCTGTCCTGGATCATCTTCATGCAGAGAATGATTTTAGACTTGAAAGAGGTCATGGACATCTGCCTACTCTTCCGACAGGTGAAAGAGCTAAAGCAGAGATGTTCTTACTCTGAATAGTGAAAGGAAAATTGCAGTTAAGTGTAGATATCAGGGTTCCTCTTTCACTTCCAGGCACCTCTTATGTGTCAAGCTAGTCTCAAACTAGGGACTTCTTGAAGCTCAGTGCTGTGAGGGGTTTGTCTCTTCCGCACTCCACATGAGTGCGAGTAAGAGGCAGGTTTGGGTTATGAAAGGGGCTACTTGATTTAATCACTCTCTCTATTGGACTGGGGGAGATGAATTTGTTAGTCTCAAGTTCAGGTTCTTCATTCCACAGGGGATGTGAATGCATAAACAGTCTACCCTTATGGGGAGCACTTGTTTGCCTAGAGGGGTCTTTTCCTTTTGAACTTCCTAGGGGAGTCTGCTTACATGTCAAGAAGAGCCAATCAAAACAAAAAAAGAGAACCCTGACAAGGGTTTGCAAAATTGCCTACAGATGTCTCCATTTCAGCAAACTGGAAACAGAAATCTTGTTTGAATTGCTGTAGCAACAGCATGAACAAAACAACACATGGCACGAAGCTGTCCTGTGGGGCCTGATAGCAATGTGGGGAGAGTAGAGCTGGGGGATTACAGACTTGGAGCCAACAAGTGGCTGAGGCTGGGAATCCCTCTGCGGAATGTGGAGCTTGTGTTCTGATGGAAACCACCACTCTCCAGGGCACATTCCCTCCAGTCTGAGCCCCAATGTGAGAATGTGAAAATGGGATGGGCAGGGGCCAGAAGGAAGGCCCGGACTGCCTTCTTGGCTCAAATCTTTATTGCATGAAACGTTCCAGATCACAACCAGTCATACACAATAACCACATATGTGCATCACTTCTCCATTTACAAAACATTTCCCCTCTTTTATCATCTGAGTCACTCAGTTTATCATTGCAACTCGCTCACCAGGGCCCCAGTAGATACCTAGAGATGAAGGTTGGTTGTTTGTTTTGCTTTGTTTTGTTACCGTTTAGATTTGCATAAACTTTTATTACTTAAAGAATCACAGAAAGTCATAAATCAAGGTCCCTGAAGTTTTACTTTCAATCCTCTGACTATCAAATCCTGATGGGAACCAAGTGAACGAGAGCCTCCTTCAGTCACGTCAGTGCTCTGAGAAATCCTAATTATAGTCATGCTTTTTGCCTATTAGTTGTATTAACAGTTCTCTGGGTGGCAGACTGGTGCTGGCCAATGTGATATGTCTTTATTTCTCTGTCTGCCTTTCCTTTGGAAGAAAGGTTGAAGATAGTGGAGATTTTAAAGTCCAGCAACAAAGCAGCTATATGTACACTGGAATCAGTTTAAACGATATACTTCTCTCAGTGTCTGAATGAGCCATTTTGAATCCTCCAATGAAATTGTCTAGTGGCCCATGATTCTAGTTCACATCCCAATTTTCTCAGTCAGTTTGAATTTTGATTGATTTTGAATAAGGCTTGAATGTTCAAACTGGCCACCTGATAAGAGATGGTCCTACTAGCATGTTTATGTTTTTGACATTGTAATGTGCTTCTTCTATGGTTCAGGTCATGGTGTCTAAGTTAAAATATCATACAATTACAGAATATATGGGTTAGTACAGGATGTATGGATTAGGAGGAAAATAGGAAGGCCCTCATTTTGGCTGCTCAAGGGGATCCCCAGCTCTTCCCAAGATCTCAAACTTAAATCTCAAATAATCAGAATAGATTTTATTTTTTTAAGGTAGGGAACAGTAGAAATGTTTTTATTGTGCCTCATGACTCAGAGTAGAACTAATAAATTGTTTTTCATGTGGTATGCTATCTGAAAGCGATGGTGGTTGTGTTTCTGTTGCAACTACCAGCGCTGACAGAGCAATAGCAATATTGTAAATAGGACTTAGAGTGAGGGTCTGATTTATTTCTGATAAGAATTTTGAATGACTGAGACTTCCATTTCTAGTCTTACAACAATTTTGAGAGTTAGTTTTTCCTTTACACTAAAGAGTAAGTTCAAAGTGACTTGAAGTAGGGACTTTCCCCAGGCCTCAGGGTGTCTCCAGGCAAAAAGGTAATGTCTTGTTTATTTGAATTTGATGACCTAGACCTCCTACCTAAAAACAACACCAGGACGCAATCCTGAACACGAAGTCCTTTGGAAATAAAGAAGTTGGCAGATAGTAGATTAAAAATAAATTACCAGAGAAACAAACCAAATCAAAATGAAACATAAAGAAGTGTGTGTGTGTGTGTGTGTGTGTGTGTGTGTGTGTGAGAGAGAGAGAGAGAGAGAGAGAGGTGACTACTCAGGTTACTGAGAGGAAAGAGAGTATAGCTGGAGTTCATTAGTGGGTTGTTTGGTTTCACTCATTTGTTTGATTTTAGTTGCTCTTTGAATGCTTAATGTATTCCAGTTACCATTAGTTCTACCAGAGCTCAATAGAAAAACTGTTTAATGGTCAAATATCCCATGTGACTTCCTCCCTGGGACAATTACACATGTATTATCTTAATAAGGGTCTTACTCAGCTAAAAAGTGGCAACAGAGTAGTTTACAATTGGTTTAAACCGATATTTCTAAAATACATTCAGTAATTTTTTTCTTTAATATGTCTTCTAGCATTGTATGTGGTCATGTTCTAAGAAATCAATCTGAGAAACTGCATAATAAAAAAGTGAAAAACATTCTCTTGGTGTGCCAAGAGGCCAGAGTACATACAAGAGAGGTTTAGGACTCCTAATAAATAGCTTTGAATCTTTCTTACAGTTATGTATTCCAGGAAGTTCAAACATTAGTGTCATGACTCGTGGAAGAAGTGACTTGTAGAGACCCCGCCTTTTCTGTGGATACCCACACCCGATCCAGGCGCGCGCTTTCCTGAACTCGGGCCCATGAGAATGGACGACTGTCCTGAGGGTTTGAACAGACACACACAAAAGAGACCTTGCTCACTTACCAAAGAGTAAATGGCCACTTTATTAAACTCAAGTCGGGTATTTATACCAGTGGGCAAGGGGGATCAAAAGGGCAAGGCCTCCTCCCATCAGGAGCAGGAGAAGGAGATTACAGGTCCCAGTGCCTCAGGCAGAATCAGCTGGGAGGGGCAGGCGTATGGGGCCCACTGCTAGAACCTTGTTTACAGGTGGAATCACCATAACAAAGAGAGCCAGGTTCTTTGTAAACTATACCCTCAAGCCAGTGCTAGTGCAGAATCTCCAGGGAGCTGGAGGTCACACGGCCCTGCGAATTGCCAAGGAAGAAAAGGGGAAAGACCTTGGTACCTACAGTGACTGTGTCACATTTTTCTTATGAAAGTCAAATAGTGTTCTCAACAGAAGCTCTGAAATTCTTACAGTCAGCAATTACGGACAATGCCTTACTCACCTCTGAAAACGAGGAAACTCATGGAAGTTTTGACGCTAAGACATTTGAGTCATAGAGACAGAATGTAAGTGCAGGGACCTCCATTGTCTTTCACTGAATTTTTCCCTTCCCATCGTGACAGCTGGGTGTGATAAAGCAGCAGCTGTTCACAGTGGCAGCTGAACTGCTGCTCTGTGAGGACTCTTTTGAGAACTGGATGAATGGGGTACTATAGGCAAGTTAGGGGACACTTTGTGTGGATCCTAGAGTAAGTTTGTATTGACACAGACACTTATAGATTTCAAAATGCCAGATGCCCCCCCATGAAAGACTGGGTTTGCATTTGAGATTGTCCCAAAGATGCAGGATAAATGAGGATTATTTCATCCTTTGCCATATGTGAAAGTGTGCCCTGCTAGCTTGGTGCATTGATGAGCGTAAAGCCAAAAAGATCAAAAGGAAAGTTCAAATCCTTGAGACATAGAGATTACAACCCAGAAGACCTAGCCTTCTATATTAACTTCTTTCTAACTTAAATATGCTTTTGACCATTGACAGATCAAATTCACCCCACGTCTAGAGAACATTTATTAGGGTAGTGACTATAGAAACTACCAATTGAATAAAATATAGCTCTTGCATTCTCTAGGACCACAATTTGGGAAGAAGGAAAAGAAATATATGATTAGTTTCTGAAGGAAAATACCACCCAGCCATTAAAGATAATGGCCCAATTAATCCAAAGAGCTATGGGAAACTAGATGCAGTGTCTGAGTTGGTCTACAAAGGATTTTATCCAACACTGTCATCCAGGCCAAGGGAAGAGCAAAGCCAAAGGCACAGCAGTGGCTTGGCCCTGGTGAAAAACCATCTAAACATCATAGTAGAGTGCTGGGTTTAATTCTGCTTGAGTTAGGGCAGCTTACCATGCTAGGGCTGGAGATACAGGAATGTGATGGATGAAAAGACTGCCCGTGACAGGACGGATAGTCAATGAAGATTTTTAACCAGATAGCATTGATATTTCAGAAAAAAGTAAGAAAAAATTGCAAGTGGTTGTCAAAATTGCAGCCTTGATGCTGACATATTAACAAAATGTCATTTCTTTCTCAGTCCATCTCCATCCTAGACTCTGGTTTGAAATGAGAAAGTCTGTTCCTCAGCTCCTTCCAGAATCAATCAACAGAGCATATTTCTATGGTGTTCAGAAAAATGCAGAATGAAGAGACTTATTTCTTCCTCATCAAAAATGTTGTCTCTTTCCTCAGAATGGACGCTGATCTATGAACAACTTGAAGCATGGGTTTTTGGTTTAACAAACCAAGAAAGATGGCTCCATCCCCACTGTGCTGTCCCCATCCTCCTGCCAACTCCAGGTATTTCTGGGCCGAAACCTCCCCTGGTTGGTGGTCTTTACCAGCACTGACAAGAATTCCAACTCGTACTTTAGTGTGTCTTGGGGACATGATCTCATCTGGAGCCTCCAGGTCTACTTTTGAGTTTTGGATTAAACATTGTTCTTAAATGTTAATTGGGAATTAGGCTGGTAGGTGTTTATAGGAACTTCATTTTCAAAAAGAGAAGGAATTTGTTTACAGCATTTCCCTAAAATGTCACCCCATGTTAAAGATTAGTCTTTTCCAGAATGTTACTATTTAACTGACTCTTCCAAGGAGACTAGTAATTTAATTTTATAGAGTAAGTCTCATCCCTGGGGCTCAATAGCAAGCAAAGACTTAGAAACATCCAGCAGTTTTGTTTCTTGAGCTATTCTATGACATCTTTAAATTGTAACATGCAATATTCAGAAATTTTAAATAAAACATTGTATGTATTAAACAACACACTTGCCTTCCTCATTTTTCAGAACTCTGAAAATCTCTTCCCTGCCACACTCTGGTTAGAGTTCCAGATTTCCATGGAATTTGGAATTTTACTTGAAATTCAGTGAATGATTGACTTGGGTGCAGAAAAATCTCTGAGGATAATAAATGTGATAAAAATATTTTCAGAGATTTAGGATGTCTAATTATGTATAGAGTACAGAAAACAAAAGTTGGCATTAATTCAATTAAACTCATAAAGTCGGTATTGAACTTGTAGTTAAAATCCTTCTATCTTTGCATGAGAAGCTTTGTTTTGAAGGAATGCCTTTTACTTTTGAGATTTTAATATCAATTCACCATTCTTTTTTTTAATATTTATTTATTTATTATGGATACAATATTCTGTCTGTGTATATGCCTGCAGGCCTTAAGAGGGTACCCGACCCCATTATAGATGGTTGTGAGCCACCATGTGGTTGCTGGGAATTGAACTCAGGACCTTTGGAAGAGCAGGCAATGATCTTAACCTCTGAGCCATCTCTCCAGCCCTAAATTCACCATTCTTTTGTTACCTTTCCTCCATCCAAATCCCTCCTTACTCCCTTTTGAATCTGTGGCCTCTTTCTCATTATGTATATCTATAAATATTTACATATAAGTTAAATTACATAACAATATTACATCTATTCCTAAATAAACCTCTTCAGTCTTTATAATGTTTATATATGTGTATGTATGCATGTGTGTGTGTGTGTATGCCTGCATGTATGTTTATATGCATGTATGTATACAGGGTTGACCATTTGGAATTGGATAAACGAACGCTGTGCTTTCCCCTAGGGAAGAGTTTTTCTCCTCCTCTCTACATCCCTTAATTGGTTGTAGTTCTTCGTATAGTTGTTGAGATCTTGTGATCTTTCCACTATCAACCTTAGCATGACTATGGGTGTTAACATCATTTGGCTTACATTTGGGCAGTCCTGTTGGTGAAACTCTATGGTTGTAGCTTCATACTTTATTATAAGACACAGTCACACAGCAAACTCTCTAATCTTCTGGCTCTTAAAAAAATCTTTCTGGTCCCTCTTCCACAATAATCCCTGATCTTTAGTTTTCAGGGTTGCTTTTTAGATTAAGGTGCCATTCTGGTTCTTGGTCTGGTTCATAGGTATTACAGCTGGTTAGGACTGGTGTTTCTGTCTGTCCTTTAGAAACTTGCATGTTGTCTTCTGGTATTGGCATGAAAGTCAATCGTCAGAGAGGAAACATTAAGGTAAGCTCCAGTTAGAGTCCCTGGCACTGCGTTTAAAATGCCTGATGTCTTAATGAGTAAGTAATTATTTTCCACTTCTGGGGGAATCGAGGGCAATAGTAACAACCTGTATGTTTAGAAACCTCTTGAACAACCCCAACTAACCACTTGGAAGAGTGTTTCTCATGGCTAGCACTGGAGTTTGTTAGGTGGTCTCTTTTTTTTTTTTTTTTTTTTTGATGTAGAAGTTGACAGTCCAGGCAGTAAAATTTCATTTAAACTATATATACATATTCATAGACAAACTTATATGTATTGTAGATTTCAATTTTATGAAAACAGTTAATGGTATGACTTTTATGCAATTTTTCAGACATTTTTACTTTTATTTTACTCCTCTTGCTCCTTTGTTGGTATTTATCTTTCTCCCTTATTAAATCCTCCCTTTTCCACATTTCTCCAATTGAATGTGCACATGCAGATGAATGAAATTAAATCTGTAGTCCTCACCTTGTACAAAAACTAACTCCAAATGGACTAAAGACATAAGAATGAAACCTAAAACACTGAAACTGCTAGAAAAAAGGTAGATAGTGTTCTACATTGTATATGTTTAGGAAGAGACTCCATTTTCCTAAGAATTAAGGTCAACAATCCACAAGTGAAATTTCATAAAATCAAAAGGCTTCTCTGGGTCTAATGAAGCAGTCAATCAGTGAAAGAGAAAGTCCACAGAATGGAAAAGTATCTTTGTCAGTTATTTATCTGACAACAGAGTAATATCCAGAGAATGAATAAATATATGCATGTATATATGTGTATATACATACATGCATGTGTATGCATATATGAAATATTTATAAAATATAAATATTTAAATACATGTGTATGCATGCTAACTATGTGTGTATACATTACACATATATACATAAATATGATGGGCAATTTATATATATAAATTTTATATTTATATGTTTTTATATAATTCATATATATATATATATAGAGAGAGAGAGAGAGAGAGAGACAGGCTTGACCTTAATAGAGAATTCTCAAAAAAAACTGTCTAAGAAATAACTCAAAATGTAAGCACTGTCCCTACCAAATAGAGAAATGCAAATCAATACAACTTTGAGATTTTGTTTTGCCCCAGTCAGAATGGCAAAGATAAATGGAGCAACTGAGTACAGATGCTGAAGGTGAGGCAGAAAGATTGGCAACCTTCATTCACTGTCGATGAGACTGTGAACTAATGCTGCCATTATAAAAATTAGTATGAGAATTCTCAATAAATAAACCTGACATATGGTTCAGCCGTATCCTTTGTGGTGGTTTGAATAGGAATAACTCCTATAGCTTTGAATGTTTGAATGCTTGGTCATTATGGAGTGGCCCTACATGAGAGAGGTAGGAGGTGTGACCTTGTAGGGGGTGAGCTTTGGGGTTCTAGAAACCCAAGCCAGGATTATTGGTTCACTCTCTCTTTTCTTGCAGTTTATGAATCCAGATGTAAAACTCTCAGCTCCTCTTCTAGCACCATGTTAGTCTGTGTGTTACCATGCTTCCTGCCATGTTGATAATGGACTAAACCTCCTAAACTGTAAGCAACCCCCAAATAAAAGCTTTATCAAAGCTGTCACAGTCGTGGTGTTTCTCGTAGCAACAGAACATCACCTGAGACGCTAGTTCTTGGCATAATCCCAAAGGATTCCACATTCTGCTCCACAGGTGCTTGTTCAGCCACGTTCATTGCTATTCTATTCATAATCGCTGAGAATAGAAAAAAAATGCCAATGTCCTTCACTCAAGGACTGGATGCTGGAAACACAGTACATATAGACTATGAAATACTATTTGGTGGTAAAGAAAATGTGTGGATATAGAAAAGATCATATGAGTAAGGTAACCTAGACCCGGAGGACAAAGGTTTTCTTAGGCTTCTAGCTCCAAATCTTCAGATATGAGTATATGTCCTGGAGTAACTGCAGAAGCCGAGAAACTAAAAAGGGACCTTTGCTGGGCTCGGGGGGTGGGGGAGCAACATAGAGAAGAATAGAAGGGTATTCGTTAGCTTTGGTATTCATACCCATTTTATTAAAACTTTCCTGTCAACAAAAATCAGGAAATGGTTAATTTTAAGCCTCTGTTAATGATATAAACTCAGAGAGACAATGATTGTGTTTATGAAATAAGCACTGGCAGGATGGAGCTGGGGCAAAGGCTAAGGTTTCACTCTCCTAGCGGCTGGCCTTGTGGAACATCAAGAACTATCCCAAGTTCTGCTTTCATCACATGACTACTCTCCCAATGTAAGCTTATACTGAAGGAGCACTGAACCCTACAGTGATCCTGGCAGAATGTACCCAGTGCTTCTTTGCACATAGACCACTTTGCATGGTGATCGAGGTACAAAAAAATCCTCCTACTAACTGTCGATAAGACTACTTGAATTTCTTGAGAGACTTTAATGTCTTAAGCTGGAAATTTAGGGAAGTTGTACATAGCATTTTTCATGACAAATGCTATCAATTTATTAAAAAAACCCTATCATTCAGCAATTTCTCCATATAAGCAAATATACTGAAATTCTGAATGCACAATGCCGGTGTTTATGAACTTTTATTTAGGGTATTTTTTGTATTTTATCTAATTTCATTCTTATATTGATAATTTAAATTGTACTAATTTATTGTAGCAGTTAATATTGTATGAACTGACTGCATGTGAATATACAAGTTCAATTGTATGTACAGGTATTTATGCATGTTTGTGTTTGTGGGGGGGGGGCAGAGGTTGATGTCAGTGTCTTTCCCCATGGTCCTCTAGCTGAACCTAAGGTTCACAAACTTGGCTAGATTTGGGGATCCCACCTCTGCTGCCTGAACACTGTGATTTCAGGCAGGCAATCAGGTCCACCAGCTTTTACACAGGTGCTAGCTTTCCAGACACCCATTCACACACTTGCTTGATGATGGATGGCTTTATTTCCTCACGGAGCCATGTCTTCAAGTCCAAGTTCCATATCTCAGTCCTACCAAAGAAATAATTATATTTCAGCATGAGTTTTGAATAGATATTTAAAGCATAGTACCTTGCAAAAAAATTGTATTTCTTAGAAAACTGTACTCCAAAGAAAATAGAAAGGCTAAATATGTGGATCAGTGGCGAAGGATACTTTCTGTTCTTCCCAGTTCCCTGAAGTTACCTTGGGAAGCTTGCTACCTGTGACACCAAGTCCAAGGTATTCTGTCTTCTCTGAGTGCTCACACAAGCTTGACATTCACGCACACAGAAAAACACACTACATATACATTAAAAAATTAAAATTTTAATTCAGTGGAAAATAAATGCAAATTTATAGCAATATTAGTTGAAGTTTGCTATTAGTAGTGCTTTCCAGGTGTAAATGAAAGAACACTTGGCAAATGAGACAGAATATACTCCAGTGAGGAAAGCTGAATAGAGCAATACATAAATAACCCAATTTAGACTTCAGAATTCTGTAGGTTTTCTGTAGATTTCTGTTTTATATTCTTCCAGAAAACAAGCTGCAACTTCTGGGTTTTTTTTTTTTGTACACCCTACAGACTCTGCTGTTTTTGCAATCAAAGCTAGACATTTGACCACTATAATGTAACTATAAAAAATTTTGTTATGTTTTCTCTATGTATGTACAAATATACAGATGTGTGTTTGCATGTCTCTCCATGAGTACACCAGTGCA